GTAACAAAGCAGGCTGAGCAAGCCATAGGGAACAAGCCAGTAAGCAGCACCCCTCCATGGCCTCTGCATCAGCTCCTGCCTCCAGGTTTCTGCCCTGACTTCCTTCAGTGATGAACAGAGATTTAGAAGTGCAGGCTGAATAAACCTTTTCCTCCCCAAATTGCTTTTGGTTAAGGTGTTTTATCACAGCAATAATAACCCTAACTAAGACACTTTCTTTTTTAGAGTGACCTTGGTCATGGTCTCTTCACAGCTAAGCCAGAAGCCAACCTGGGCTACATGAGACTCTGAGAAAGACAGAGAGGAGAGTGGGGAGGGAGGGAAGAATGAAGGAAGGGCTGATTGAGAGGAGAATGGAAAGTATGGATATCATCACCCATCTGCACTCACTGGATGATATACAGAAATCTTGCTGGAATCCTGCAAGACAGTAATATGTTTATTAACCATATAATAAACCAAGACAGTAAATATGTTCATCAACGGTGTGATAGACTAAGATAGTAAATATGTTCGCCAACCATGTGATAGACTCTTGTGTTTGCAAAAGATACTGGCATTTCATGATTCACAACCACTTTTGAAAGCATAGAAATGTAAGAATTTTATCTAGAAAGGGTATTGGAGTTGGGTGTGGTGGCACAGTCCATGACCCTTGATGTTTGACAAGTTGAGGCAAGAGCATCACAAGTTGAAGGCAAGCCTGGGAGGCGGAATGAGCCCCGATCTTAATAAAAATGAAAAGGGAGAACTGAGGATATAGCCCAGTGGCAGAGCATTGCCTGCCTTTGTGAGGCCCTGGGTTCATCCACCACAGCTGCTGTAACAGCTGTTTCCTTTGAATTGAAACCTTCCCTCCTAGAGAAAAGAGGGAGGATTATAAGTAGTCTAGAAAACTTACAGAGCTGGGGAAACAGCTCAGTTAGCAAGGTGTTAGCACTTGAAGACCTGAGTCTGAGTGCCAGCATGTGTATAAAAAGCCAGGCATGACGGCACACACTTGGAATCTCAGTGCCGGGGAGGTGGAGACAGACTACAGGTGCATGTTGACCAACCTCATCAGCAAGCCTCAGGCTCCACAGATTCTGTCTCAAAACAGCAAACAAACCAGGGTAGGGAGCTGGAGAGACACTCAGCAGTTAAGAGCAGCTGGTGCCATTGCAGAGGACCAAGCTTGGATTCCTAGTACCCACAGGGCAGCTCTTCTGTAACTTCAGTTCCGGGGAATTGGCTGCCCTCTTCTGGGCTCATGGGTACTGCCTGTATGCGGTGTATTTAGATCCATGCAGGCGAAACACTCAAACATATAACATAAAATCTAATAAATCTAGAAAAAAACAAAGAAGGAAGAAACAAAAAAGAAAGAAAGGAAGGAAGAGAGAGAGAGAAGGAGGAGGAGAAGAAAGGAAAGAAGGAAAGAGAATAAACACAGTAGAATGAGCAATGACACCTGAGGCTGACTTCTGAGCTCTACACACACCTGCACAAGCATGCACGCATACACACATGGGGTGGGGGTGGGGAGGGTTCAGAGAGTCGCACAATAAGATCCATAAAGCCCCTCCCTCGGGTTATAAAGGAAGCTAACAGTTGCTGAGGGGAGGAAAGTTATAGAGCTGGCAGAACCACCTGTAAATTGAGTCATTCACATCTAGGGTGAACTTTGGCTATGCAGCTGCTTTTGCGTGTCCCATGTTCTCATAGATAATTCCAATAAAGTCACTAGTTCCCTGAACTACGCTGGGGCTGAATCTTTTCTTTGGTCTGCCATTGGCGTCCTGTCTTGGATAAATAGGCATCTGTTATTTTCTTTCCCAGGAAAAGTCACAGAATACTCCCCAAGAAGGGGGGATAGGAATGGGAGGGGAAGGGAAGGGGTAAGGGGAGGGAAGGGGAGAGAAGGACAGGGAAGGGCAGGGGAGGGCAGGGAAAGACAGGAAAGGACAGGGAGGGCAGGGGAGGACAGAGGAAGACAGGGGAGGGCAGGGAAAGGATAGTTATTAGAATGGCTTACAGGCTGTGGTCTATCTAGCCCGACAATTGCTGCCTCTCAAAAGAAAGGCCAAGGATCCAGCAGTCTTTCAGTCCTTGAGGATGGGTGGCTCACTGGTCTTCAGTCTACGCTGGCATCCTGAAGAAGTAGCTTCTAATATTGACAAAGAAATTCATCAGCTGCAGGATAGATGAACCTGCCACAGAGGGTGAGGGCAAGCAGGCAAAAAGCAGAAACTCCCTTCTTTCGTGTCCTTTTGTGTGGGCTGCCACCAGAATGTGCAGCCCAGATTTTGAGTCTCAAAGGCGCAAGGAAATCCCCCCACAGGTGTGCCCAGCTGCTTGAGTTTAAGTTAATTCCAAATATAATCAAGTTGGCAACCAAGATTAGGCATCACTGCGCTGACCGAGCCGTCTCCCCGGGCCCTAGTGTGGAAAATGTTTACTACACATTGACAGTGATACAAAGAGACCCGAGTCCTAGCTCCTGGCTTGAACACAGATCGATGCAAATCCCGAACCTTCTTTCATGATGTCACCCTTTTAAGATATTTGCCCCAGTGAACCAGCTCCACACCCCTCACCTCTGCTTCTCTTAACGCTTCCTTCTTTAGCTAGGTGCGTCTTACTGTGCGTTTCTTCTGCTACAATGCTTTAATCAGAACTTGTCATCTCCACACCTATTCTCTCGTTGCTCTGTCCCCACGTAATTTCTGTTCAATGTATACAAAGGCCACTCAAGTCTTCCTAAGGGGAGCCAGGCAGTGGCGGCACACCTCTTTCATCCCAGGGCTCCAGAGGCAGAGGCAAGCAAAGCAGCTCTCTGAGTTCAAGGTCAGCACGGTCTACAGAGTGAGTTCCAGGGTCGCCAGGGCTACACAATGAAACCCTGTCTCAAAAAAACAAAAAGAAAAATGTCTACAGAGAATTTAAAAGACTCCCGAAGGGCTGTTCTCACATAGTGTCTCAGTTTTCTTTGCTCTTGGTATTTGCTTTTTGCAATGCTAAGGGTTGAACCCAGGGCCTTGTCTACACTAGGCAAACCATCTACCAGTAATTCTTAGCTCTTTTGGGTGCTGTCCTAGTCTATTTTATGTTGCTCTGTGTTGGGAGCACAAAGGTCCTTGTGCTCACTGAAAAGTACTAGGAAAATCAGAAAAGTTAACCAGGGGTGACCCTTTACCAGAAGAGATAAACATATACCTCTTCTGCCCAGAAGGTTGAGAATGGATGTGGCTAATAGTCTAGGTGACCCCTGTGCTCTCTGTAGGGATAGGCCATACCTGGCTCCCACAGGATCTCACAAGAAGGACTGGATGTAGTTAATATCTGTTAAACCTCTGTGCTCCCTGTATGACCAAGACCACACCAGATCCTCCCCAGGGCCCTAAGGTAACCCATGCAGCCTGTCTCGAGAACACATCTCCATGGGAAAAGTGACATGTGCTTGAGAAGGGTTTTAATGTGATTATGCCTCTCTGTGCACAGGGGATTGTTACAGCAGGAGACCCTCCCCAACTACTGTACTTAACTGTGCCTGCAATAGACTGCCACGGTCAGACTCTAGAAGTTTGAACCAACACTGGCTACTGAGTCATGTTGAACTGGATTTCCTTCTTGCCCCTCACAGATCCTTACTCTCTTGGCCCTGGTGTTTGCAGAGACCCCCACAGCTGTGTTTTAAAAAAGAAAATGAGGGCTGGAGAGATGGCTCAGGGGTTAAGAGCACTAGGACTGCTCTTCCAGAGGACCCGGGTTCAACTCCCAGCACCCGGCACATGGCAGCTCACACCTGTCTGGAACTCCAAGATCTGACACCCTCACACAGACATACATGCAGAGGAAACACAAGTGCACATAAAATAAAAGCAAATAAATCTAAAAAGAAAAAAGAAAAAAAGAAAATGCCCTGACAAAACTAACTGAGGAGGACCTGGAAGATGGCCGGAGAGTAAAGACGTCTTCCACCAAGGCGGACAATGTGCATTCGCCCTGGAACCCACACAGTGGGAGCAGAGTGCCAACTCCTGTAAGCTGTCCTCTGAGCTAACACTCATGCTGGGCACGTAAGCACCAACACACACTAATAAATAATATAAATAACTGTAATGTAACTGAAGGTCTGGAGAAGTGACTCAGCAGTCAGGAGTGAGTGCTTGCTGCGCTTTCAGAGGATCAGAGACTGTTTCCAGAAGCCACATCAGACAGCTCAAAGCCAGCTATGACCTCAGTCCCAGGGGAGACAAGGCCCTCTTCTGGTCTTCTCCAGCTCTAAAGCATGCACACACACAACACACACATCACACACACCACACACAAGACACACCACACCACACACACACAACACACAGAACACAACCCACACAAGACATATCATATACCACACATCCCACACACAAACACAGACACCACACACACCATACACACCACACACACACTACAACAAACACACCACACTTAATACACTCACAACAAGCATTCATCATATACCACACCGCAACATAAACATACCACGCACACTACACACACACATACACACACGCCTCAACACACACCACACAACACACCATACAGATACCACACCACACAATGCACACACACCAAACACAGATCATACACAACACACTTAACACACATAGACACACACACAAATCAAAGAAATCATTAAAAATAATTTTTAGAAGCTAGGCACAACAACACGCTAATCTCAGCACTCGGGAGGCAGAGTGAAGAGGATCTCTGTGAGTTTGAGGCCAGCCTGGTCTACAGAGAGAGTTCCAAGACAGACAGGACTACACAGAGAAACCTTGTCTCAAGAGACCAAAATAAACAAATATATTTTTAATTTACATTTTATTTTATTTTATGTGTATGAGTATTTTGCTTGAATGCATGTCTGAACGTCACCTGTGTGGCTGGGTGCCAGGCTAATGCCTGAAATTAGCTATCACAGTTTTTTGCTCCTCCCCATGGTGCTAGAGATCAAGCCCAGGACCGTGGTGCAGCTAAGCCAGCATTTTCCACCTGAGCGGCTTCTCCTTCCCTCCCCTCAGACTCCTCAATAGGTCCTTCTGGTGCGTGTGTGGTTCTTCCGTGGGCAGGTCTTCGTTCTTGGCTGTTGTGCAATACTGGATTAACTTTGTGTGAGTAGTAAACGTCTTTACTGGGAGAATTAAGTGTGGTCCATTAGTCTGGACTAGTGAGGAAATCTAGAAGCCTAGTTCTGATTGTGACCAGCGACCTTTAGTGTACAAACCTTGACTATGAACGTATTAAGTCCTCTGAGTTCTGTGGGGACAGAGGGTTTGGGTATGGATGCTCAGCTGGCTGGGCATTTAAAAGGTAAAACAGCATGGCTACATTGGCCCCGCCAGGCAGGCCCTTACTCAAAAAGTAAGAGTTTCTGGCGGTCCCCATGCACTGTGTAGGGCATAGTGCATGGCAACTGGCCGAGTACAGGGCTCTAAGCCCTGTCTATCCTCGAATAGGGTCAGCCTTTGTTGAGAGTATCCCGCAAAAAAAATCATCACTTCTAACAACAGGTAACACGGCGCTAGACTAGAAGCCAGTGTACCCTGAGGCCTCCTAGGGGTGCTGACTGAGGGCCAGAGCCTTGGTCCTCGAGAAAGCTGTCAGTACACAAGGGGAGGCATCCAGCGCCTGGGCTCAGACAAGAAAAGGACGGTTATGGTTCGCTGGCTGAGGGACCACATGAAAGAGTGTTGTGCGACCCGACCCGTCAGGGGTCAGGCCAGGAGAAGGTAGCCAAGCAAGGCTCCCGATCTGCTGCTTCTCCCCTAGGGGGCGCCACTGAGCCTGGCGTGGCTCCCGACTGCAGCGGAGCGGCCATGGGTGTGCAGGGCCCCATTCCGCTGCTGGTGGTGTTGCTGGTGTGCGTGGCGCTGGGGAAACCTGGTGAGCTAAGGTGATGTCCCACCAGAACTGGGGAGGATGGGGAAGAGTGGGGAATGTGAAGGCGTCAGGTGAGGAAATCCCTTGCGGAACACCTACAGAGGCCGAGCGTACAGAGTCATCTTTTGCATTCCTCCCCCACAGGTCCCAAGAACATCACAAACAAGCTCCTCTCAGGTGACTGATGGGCTCTGTGGAGGGTTGGATGTCTGCAAACCCCGTGGGAAGGGTTCCGGTGGCATCTCTTCGACACTACCCCAGGATACGGGAGGAAGGGGGTTATGGGTGTGCGGTTCCCCCAGATCCTCCCTCCCAGACACGTGTACCCTGGGGGCGCTATGGCCTGCCTCAGAGCTCAGACGGGCGTCTCTTTTTCTGTTCCAGTGCCTTGTGGCCGCCGGAGTTACATTAAGCCACTGATAGTGGGCGGGATAGAATCCGTGCAAGGGCGCTGGCCGTGGCAGGCCAGCCTGCGCTTGAAGAAGTCCCACCACTGTGGAGGGAGCCTTCTCAGCCACCGATGGGTGCTCAGTGCTGCACACTGCTTTAGAAAGTGAGTCTGGGGTGGCAGGGGCCAGATGGAGCGGCGATCTTGAACTAGCCTTCTGATATCCTGAGCTCCAAACTGAGCAGCAACTAGTTACAATCAAATAACCTTCCTCATTGCCCTGTGGAGAAAGATGTTTACTGAAACATTCCCATGTGGGTGCGGGTATATTCGTTTGTGCCCACCGCCCCCAAACAAAACGAATCAAGAAGGCACAAGCCTCATCCCCCCTCCCCTTGGAAGAGGAGGCCGATGTTAGGCCCACACCAAGGTTGGATGGCTCGTTTTTGAAGTGGATAGCTCAGGTTGGCCTTCAACTTTATGTGTAGCTGAGGATGGTTCTCTTGGCTCTGCCCCATGGCATGCTGGGATCGCAGGCATGCACCACCATGCCTGATCTGTACAATGCTGGAGCTCAAACCCTGGGATTCTCACGCTGCTAAGCAAGCACTGTCACCTGAGTCTCATCCCCAGCCCCATTCCAGATGTTTGCTCTACTCTGTCCAGGCCCCACAGCAGCCTCTCCATCTTCCGAGTCGTCTCCGACTTGTACAGGCAGGGTCCTTGGGAGGTGATGAGACTACTGGGGGCAGTGGTCTTCCTGATCCTCTGATCCCCAGGAACAGGTCATGGTCTAGGCTCTGTTCCTACAAGGTGTCCTTAGCCCCAAGAGAAAGATTTGCTAATGATTGGCAATGAGCAAACACGTAGTACTAGCCCCGTGGTGCCCCTCACACAGGTGCCCAGGGGCCCAGGGGGCCAGCATTCCTCCCGAGGGTCCTGATCACTTTCTCCTTCCCTGCTAGGTACCTTGATCCAGAAAAGTGGACAGTCCAGCTTGGACAGCTTACTTCCAAGCCTTCTTTCTGGAACAGGAAGGCCTATTCTGGCCGGTACAGGGTAAAGGACATCATTGTAAACTCTGAAGACACCATGAGGTTCCACGACCTGGCCCTGCTGAGGCTGGCCTCCTCGGTCACCTATAGCAAGTACATTCAGCCCATCTGCGTGCTGCCCTCCACCTTCGTGTTCCAGCAGCAGCCGGACTGCTGGGTGACTGGCTGGGGAGTCCTTCAGGAGAATAAGAGTGAGCCTGGGACAGAGGGTGGGCATGTGGGTGGGCTAACTTAGGTCCCTGTTTTAGCCACAACAGGATCCAAAGTCCTTCTCTGGCCTTTGGAGCTCTGCAAGTCTCCTGCCTGCCTGCCCACCCTCCCGCTTGCCCACACGCCCCTGCCCGCCATTCTCATTCTCCCTTCATTGCCTTTCTCCTTGTTCTGGCCTGTAAGGAGCTTCCTTCTCTCCTAGATCAGGCGTGGTCCAGTGGCCAGATTTGCAAGAGAGGGACTCTTACTTAGAGCCAGTCGGGATGAGTACTCACCCTTGTGAAGAAAGCCTTTTTTACCCCGAGATTTACTTTACTATAAAACATGAACGTGCACAGTACTGTAGTGTAGTTCAGGGGTCAGTAGTGTGGTCACAAAGCTTGTCCTGACCAGGTGACCCCTCAGCACTTTAGCTTCTAAGATCAGGCATGTTCAGAGTGGTGAGGCCATAGACTGGCACCAATTCTAATTACAACATTTTCATCACTTCAAAAAGAAAGCCTGGGGGCTGGAGAGATGGCTCAGAGGTTAAGAGCATTGCCTGCTCTTCCAAAGGTCCTGAGTTCAATTCCCAGCAACCACATGGTGGCTCACAACCATCTGTAATGAGGTCTGGTGCCCTCTTCTGGCCAGCAGGCATACAGACAGACAGAATATTGTATACATAATAAATAAATACATATTTAAAAAAAAAGAAAGAAAGAAAGCCTGTTAGCCTGGTCTACAGAGAAAATTCCAGGACATCCAAAGCCTTGGTAGGCAAGCTGGTATAATCTCAGCACTTGGGAACTGAAGGCAGGAAGGTCAGGAGTTCAAGTCTGTCCTTGACTCCATAGTCTAAACTGCATAGCAAGTTTGAGACCAGGCTGGACTGACTGCAGGACTACATGTAGCTCATATCCTCTGTCACTTCTTACAGTCCCCTCATTTCCCTGGATTCTGTAGCCCATGGCAGCCCAAACACTCTTTCTGTCCCTGGATAGTCAGAGAAGATGGCCTTTTCTGCTTGAGTTCTCTCTTGTAATTAGTGTCTTCATATTGCCCCCCTGTGGCACTTGTGGGTACTGCTTCTCTCTTCTTCAGTTCACATACCATTACGGAACCACCTCTTAGGGTGTTCACAATACCGTCCCACTAGGGATCTTCATTCACACCCAGCTTTTACTCCTCATTAACCCCTCCCTACAGCCCTGATAACCACGACCCAGCTCTCTGAGCATGCAACTATCATTTTCAGATACTGCCCACAGTGGGAATAGTTTGGGGTCCTGTGAGTCTGGTTTCTTTCACGTAACAATCCCACCTTAAAGATTTACCCCTTTTTCTCTCCAACTTGAATGCCTTTATTTCTTTCTCTAAAACAAAAAACTATGTCGTTTACTCCATGGGCATGTGCGTTATATTGTATGTGCTGTATGTGTGTGCACGTGTGTTATGTGTATATATGTCTGTTGTGGTGTGTATGGTGTGCTGTGGGGTGTGTGTGTGTGTGTGTGTGTGTGTGTGTGTGAGAGAGAGAGAGAGAGAGAGAGAGAGAGAGAGAGAGAGAGAGGGAGAGCAACTTACAAAAGGAGTTGGTCTTCTTCCATTAAGTGGGAGTGGACTTGGGCCCTCAGGTTTTGCCTTTGCACTGAGCCATCTCACCAGCCCTAATTTCTCCTTCTTACCTAATTGCTGTGGCTGAAACTTCCAGGATATTGTGCACAAAGCGGCATCCCCACTCATTATGACTCTTGGAGGGAAAGCGTTTTGGTTTTCACCACTGAGTGTGATTTAGCTGTGGTTTTGTGGACCTGGGTTTCCTTTGGATCCTAGCTTGCTTAGCACTTTTACCAAAAAAGAGCACGGAATTTTGTATTTCTTGGAGTTGGGGGGGGGGGGGGGGGATGTGCATCTTCGTGTGTGTGTGTGTGTGTGTGTGTGCAGTTCCATGAGTAAACAAGTGTGCATGTTCATGTGACCAAAGGCCAAAGGTCAGCACTTCACTGCACTGGGATTGCGGACGCACGCTGCCATGCCTGGCTATTGGATTCTGATTTGGTTATGCAACAGAGTGTAGAATTGCGTCGGATGCTCTTGGCAGAGATGGAGACTGTTTTCCCTTCATTCCGTCAGTGTGTGCCGGTTTTCCTTGGCAGCGCTCCCTTGCACCTGCTCACAGATCGCAGTCCTTTCCTGCGCTGACGGGCTCAGTTGCTGCATGCTCAGATCTTTGCAGAATATTCGTTTCTTATTTCATTATTTATCTCTACAAAGCCCTGGCTGTTCTGGAACTCACCATGTAGACCAAGCTGGCATCAAACTCACAGAGATCCGCCTGCCTCTGCCTTCCAAAAGCTAAGATTAAAGGCATGAGCCCCCACATCTGGCTTTAGGATATTCATGCAGAGCCAGGCAGTGGTGGCAGGCATCTTTAATCCCAGCACTGCAGGAGGCAGAGGCAGGCGGATCTCAGTGAGTTCGAGGTCAGCCTGGTCTACAAAGCGAGTTCCAGGACAGCCAGGACTGACTGTTACACAGAGAAACTTGTCTCAAGAAACTAAAAACAGATCCTCTAGTCTTCTTCCAACTTCAGCCCCCGGTCTCACTCCATGGCCTAGTGTGGAAATAAGGAAGAGTTTCTCTTTCACATGTTTTGCGGGGGAGTTCAGAAAGGATTGCATGCAGCTCCTTTTTCTTCACATGTTGGTAGAATTCACCAGTGAAGCCCCTGGCACCTTCTTTTGCTGGGGGATGTTGATTGCTAAGTCCCTCTAAGTCTGCTTAACAGTGTATGAGGTGCAGGGCTTTCTCTGCATTGTCGTGGTGGGTAGACTCTGGTCCGCCGGCATACAGTTCTCCCTAGTATTTCCTTGTTGCCCTTTTTGGTTTGTTTGTGCTACTGTTTTTATGAAATAGAGCTGGGGCTTGTTAAGATATTTTAATATAATTTTAGCACAACTGTTAAGGAAGAGATACTCAGAGCTAAGAGGTTAAGAGCACTGTTTGCTCTTCCAGAGATCCCGAGTTCAATTCTCAGCAACCACATGGTGGCTCACAGCCATCTATAATGTGATCTGTTGCCATCTTCTGGTCTGCAGGCATATGTGCAGACAGAATGTTGTATACATAATAAATAGAAAAGAAAAGAAAAGAGATGCTCAGAAAGAAAGAAGCATTCACAAGCACTAGTGTGGCTAACAAGATGGCTCAGAGGACCAAGAGGCTTGCTACCAGCCTAACCACCTGAGTTTCATCCCCAGGTCCCACATGGTGGAAGCAGAGAACTGGCTCCTGAAAATTGCCCTCTGACTTCCACCATGCTCCCCCACCATAAATAAATAATTTTTTTTTAATTAAAGAGCATGGGTGTGGCCTCCTTGGAAGAGTCTTTTTGGTTCTTTTTATTTTTATTTATTTGATTTGATTTATTTTTAAGATAAAGTCTGTGTAGCTGGCTGTCCTTGAACTTACTATGTAGACCAGGTTGGGCTCAAACTCACAGAGATCCGCCTGCCTCTGCCTCCCTAGTTCTGGGATTAAAGGTGTGCGCCTCCATTGCCCAGCCAGCCAGCTCTGGATTTAATTTGCTCTTCTCTTATTTCCTTAGATACGAAGGGAAGTTGTTGGTTTGTGGTTTCCTTTCCATTAATATAAGCATTGGCAACTATCAGTTTCTTCCTGAAACTGTTTTTTGCTGTTTCGCATAAATTTTGGTCTGTGGCATGTTAATCTTTGTCTTCCTTGTTTTGTTTTTGGGGTAGGGTCTCAAATAGCCCAAGTTGATCCTAAACTTTCTATATACTAGTTGAGAATAGCTTTGAACTTTTGATCCTCCAACCTGATACCTACTGAATGCTGGGGTTAGAAGCCTGTTATAACACACCCAATTTATTCTGGTTTTTGTTTGTTTTGTTTTGGTGGTGGTGGTGGTTTTGGGGCGGGGAGCCTCCGTGGTTTCTGAGCAGCAAACTAACTCTTGAAGTCCCCTTGAGCTGGGGTTGACAACTCACTTCTCTCTTAACAATTTGTGTTAAACAAACAAACAAACAAACATGTATGTCTGTGCGTGACAGCCAGAAGAAGACAATCAGGTGTCTGTCGTTCTACCTCCTTTGACACAAGGGCTCTCACTGGCCTGGTTACTCACCAAGTAAGCTAGACTGACAGGCAGCAGCTCGGGTCCTGCCCCCAGGGCCTTGTCGCTGACAGTCTGTTTATGACGTGCCTCTGAGAGGGTTTCTCTGAGCTTGTCCTACTTAGAGCTTATTCCCTTCTTGAATCTGCCCTTTGTCTTTCACCGACTTCGGGAATATTTTAATCTTTCTTTAGTGTGTGCGTGAGAGAGCTTTGGGTACATGTGGTATTGTTGGACTCTAGCGTCCAAACACCGAGAAGGAGTCGCCCTCAGAGACCATCTCACACACCACAGCCGATGCAAAAGCATGTGGATTTTATTAATTCTGTCATGACAGGGTCCCCCAGCATTTGGGAAGCCGAGGGACCCCGAATAGCGGGTACAGTCTACTTTTAAAGGGGCCACAGAAGCAAGGGGGGTTGTTCTTTGACTATTCTGATTGGCTTATTTGAAAGGACTATTACCAATAATTGACTGGAGAGCTGTTGCCAGATCAGATGAGGTAAGAGGTCATTTTGACCCCGTTTCTCAGGGGACCGAACCAAAGCATACGTATATGGGTAATTGTTCAGGAACTGAGTACGTGTGAGTGTAGCTGTTAGGTCCTTGGTTCCCAGGGGAGGAGGGGAAGCACTATGGCACAGAGGCTGAGAGGATTCAGAATTGTCAAAAATGGCTTCAGGATTGTCTTAAAGTCTTACAGTATACACAAATGGAGAGCAGGGTTTTGAAGTACTGTGTATTTATGTATTTTTCTTATTTTTTTTCTATTTTAATTTTAAACAAGGTTTCTCTGTGCATCTCTGGCTGTTCTGGAACTCACTCTGTAGACCAGGTTGACCTCGAACTCAAAGATCCGTCTGCTTCTGTCTCCCAAGTGCTGGGATTAAAGGTGTGCACACCACCACCTGGTTTGTTTTTCTTGTTTCTACTGTAGCACAGTGTGCCCGGGCCTGGCTGACCCATGCATTCTCTGCCTCCCACCTTGAAACAGGGACGCTGAGATTATGTACGCAGAGCTCCACATCCGGCTCCCACATAGGCTCTGCAGACTGAACACAGTAATGGGGGGCTGTGGGGATTGAACTCAGGTTGTCAGGCTTGAACTCGGGTGCCTTTACCCATAAGCCATTCTATGGGCCCTAGGATTGTTTCTTAGACATTTAATTTATGTGTATGTGTGTGTACCTGAGTGTGTATATATGTGTGTGCACATGCGTACAGGAACCTACAGAGGTCAGAAGAGGCACCAGATCCCCTGAGTTACAGACAGCTGTGAGTCTCTATGCAGGTTCTGGGTCCTCTGCAAGAGCAGTAAGTGCTCTTAACATTCCAGTCCTAACCCTGGGAATATTTTTAGGACAGTGTTTTGCTTTGTAGTCTAGGCTGGCCTGAAACTCACAATCCTGTCACCTCAGTGCTGAGATCCTAGGTGTGTGCCACCAAGCCTGTAAATTTGGGGATTTCCACCTTGGGTCCCATAATCTCAATCTCTCTCAGCATCCTTAGCACCTCCCACCTGTGCTTGGGCAGAAGAATTTCTCCACTGTATTACTCAGGAGCTAGTTCTTCCGCTGCAGAAATAGAGGGACAGGGACTCAGGGAAGCTTCTCCTTAACTGCCTGTCTACCCACCGGTTCCTTCTGTCCATGGATTGCCCATGGAGTGGGGTGATCAGCAGGGGCACCACTACCATGGAAGGTGTGCCCTCCCTACTCCTCCTCCCACAGAGAGTAGAGGACACCCTAACACGGTGCTCTGTCTGTCCTCCTCCCAGAACCTCTGCCACCACCCTACCACCTCCGCGAAGTGCAGGTCAGCATCCTAAGCGACAGCAGATGCCGTGAGCTGTTCAGCAGTCCCTCTCTCCACCCCTTCATCAGCAGTGATGTGTTCTGCGCTGGTGCTGAGGATGGCAGTGCGGACACCTGCAGTGTGAGTTGCCTCCCCTCCCCCTCTGAGGAAGCCCACCCTGCCTCACCCAGGACCTGAGGGCTCTCTCCACTTCTGCCGTCAACCTGTCCTCAGGGTTCATCCACGCAAATCACCTACAGCCCCTAACCACCTAGCCCAAAAACATACCTCTTATTTTCTATTCACAATATTTTTCTCCATCCCTGAGCCCCTCAGAGGTAGAAAGCCATGGCCCTACTTTTCTGATAAGGAGGCTGAAGCTCTGCTGTTGCCAGGGGGAGAAGGAGGATCCTCACCCAGTCCTCTGCCCGACGGGGTTCCTGTCCCCATGGCCTCTTCCCAAGCCCCACCTACCAACTCTCAGGCTCACCCATGCTGCTCCTCAGGGTGACTCGGGAGGACCCTTGGTCTGCAGCATGGATGGTCTCTGGTATCAGATTGGAATCGTGAGCTGGGGAGTAGGCTGTGGGCGGCCCAATCTGCCTGGCCTCTACACCAATGTGAGTCAGCACTACGGCTGGATCCAGACCATGATGGTCCTCAACGGTGCAGTCAGGTCTGCTCTGGGGCCGCCACTGCTGTCCCTCGCTCTGCTCCAGGCTCCCTGACTTCTAAGGCCTGCCTGAGCCCATGAAGCTGCAGCTTCAGGGCTTCACTTCTCCCAACCCCAGGACATTCGGTATTGGGTAGGGACATCCTGTGTCTTCTGTCTCCTTTGTCAATAAACTCTTGCATATATTGAGTTGGCCTGTGCAGAACATTATGGAGAACCGGTGACTTCCTGGACACTACCCTGTGTTCGCCTTGAGCAATCCAGCCCACGCCCCATGATAGCTTGTCTAGGCTTTGGTTGCAGTGACTATAGTGTGGACTGGAGACCCAGCTCCACGGTGCTGCCTGCAGTGACCTGCAGTGGCCTGCAAAGTTCCTCCGGAGCTCTGCCCATGTGAAGCTGAGATTCCTGACTACATGCACACAGAGTTTCAGGATAGACCCACGTCTAGTCAGAGCTTCTGTTGTTGTGGTAGAAGGCCATGACCGAGCGGTGTGAAGCACACCTTTAATCCCAGCACTTGGGAGGCAGAAGAGACTGCTCTCTGAGTTTGAAGCGGTCTACAGAATGAGTTCCAGGACAGCCAGGGCTACACAGAAAAACCCTGTCTTGGAAAATCCCCCAACAAGCCAGGTGATGGTGGCGCACGCCTTTAATCCCAGTTCGGGAGGCAGAGGCAGGCGGATCTCTGTGAGTTCGAGACCAGCCTGGTCTACAGAGCTAGTTCCAGGACAGGCTCCAAAGCTGCAGAGAAACCCTGTCTCGAAAAACCAAAAAAAAAAAAAGAAAGAAAAGAAAAATCCCCAACAACAAAAAGAGCTACCACAACCAAAAGCAAATTAGGGAGGAAGGGTTGATTTCACCTTACAACTCTTAGGTCCCACTCCAGCACTGAGGGCAGTCAGGAGCATGGGGTTAGGAACATGGAGACAGGAACCGAAGCAGAAACATGGAGGAATTTGTTCTTCATGGCTTGCTCAGCCTGCTTTCTTACAAAACCCAGGACCACCCACCCCCTAAGGATGGCACTGCCAATAGTGAACTGTACCCTCCCACATCAGTCAGTAATCAAGACAATACCTCCAGATTGTGTTTCAAGACAGGCTCTAGCTGTCCTAGAACTCACTCAGTAGACCAGGCTGGCCTCAACTCAGAGATCCGCCTGCCTCTGCCTCGCGAGTGCTGGGACTAAAGGCACCACTATGCCTAGACACATCTTATGGAGGCATTTTCTCAATATCCCTTCTTACTAGACTATGTCAATTTGATAAAAGCCTACCAGCACAGCTAGTAGGAAGTAGATATTAAGAAGGTTTAGCATAGACCTGTACATGGGGTGTCTGAGCTTCACGCCTGTAGCTGTGACACTGTCCTGTGGGAGCAGCCTGAGGGGAAAGGGACTTACTTGGCTCACAGCTCCAGGCCGTAGTCTGTCATTACAGTGATGTCAAAGCAGGAACTTAAAACAGTCAGTTACACCCACAGTGAAGACAGAGAGAGACAGAGAGAGAGAGAGAGAAAGAAAGAGAGAGAGAGAGAGAGACCTTATCTTGAAAACATCAAAGACAAACAAACAAAAACTACCCATCACAAGGGTTAAGGAAAAGAGAGCAACCGGGTGGTGGTGGCGGCGCACGGGAGGCAGATGAGTTCAGGGCCAGCCTGGTCTACAAGAGCTAGTTCCAGGACAGCACCAAAGCTACAGAGAAACCCTGTCTCAAAAAAAAAAAAAAAAAAAAACCAATAAGAAAAGAAAAGAAGAGTGCTCAGGGAGAAGAGAAGACACAGGCAAGAGTTGGTGCGGAATCTCCACGGAAGCCACAGTAGGTGGCTACACAGTGCCATACATGTGATGTTTCTTTCTTTTTTTTTTTAAAGATTTATTTATTATGTGTACAACATTCCTTCCATGTGTGCCCACATGCCAGAAGGGGACACCAGGTCTCACTATAGATGGCTGTGAGCCACCATGTGGTTGCTGGGAATTGAACTCAGGACCTCTGGAAGAGCAGTCGGTGCTCTTAACCTCTGAGCCATCTCTCCAGCCCCATATATGTGATTTTGAGTGGCTCCTGAAATTACAAAAAATTGCTAAGGAATTTCTTTCTCTTTTGCTTCTCTTTTGTTATTATTATTTTATTTGTTCGGTTAGTTGGTTTTGGTTTCTTGAGACGGTTTCTCTGTGCGATCCTATCCATTCTGAAACTCAGTCTGTAGACCAGGCTGACCTCGAACTCAAAGATTTACCTGCCTCTGCCTCCTGGGTGCTGGGACTGAAGGTGTGCGCTGCTGCCACCCAGCTCATTTTTTTAATATGTATGAGTGTTTGCCAAAATGTCTATCTATGTACCACAATATGCATGTTTGGTGCCTGAGAAATCGCCTCCCTTTCAAAAACTAAATAAAAGAATGGAGCCCAGCAGTCTTTTTAGAGTACTGACTGCTCTTCCAGAGGACCTGGCTGTAATGCTATGTCCTGTCCCTTTAAGACACAAGCCCCACCCACTACCTCCCCTGTCCACCTCCAAGACAGGCAGATCTTCTTTCCTGCCTGCAGCCCAATTCTTTCCTTTTCTGTCTCTCCAAAGAGGTAGCTACTGCTGTAGAGGTAGCTGCTGCCGTGGCTCCTCTTATCTCCCCCACCCCTGCTCTTCCCCCTTCTCTCCTTACCCCCTCCCCTCTTCCCTTCCATAACCCATGAAATAAATACCCACTTCCTCTACATGGCATGCCACCAGTCTCAGTCTCTCTCACCATGCAGCTCTGTGCCTAAAACCCACTGGCCCTCATTGCCTGTGGGCCACTCGGGGGCTCCCTGACTGGAACCCGGCTGCCTTCGTGGCCTGCCAGCCACGACCTGCTGCCTGCTGCCGCTGGGGAACCTGCGGCGTGGTCTCATGGCCTGCTGCCCACTGCCACCACTCAGGGACCTGCAGCGTTTCTGCCGCTGCCCACCCTCAGGGAACCTACACATTTTATTTAAACCATAACACCAAGTTCCGTTGCCATCAGTCTCGTGTCAGCTCATTGCTACAGACATTCAGGACTGCTCATTGCTATTTTACCATTATTTTAAATTTCTCTATATAAAAGGAATATTGGCTAATGTGGTAGTTCAAGGCCCTTAATCTTGGCACTCCAGAGGCAGAAGCAGGCAGATTGCTGTGAATTCAAGACCAGTCTGGCTTACATAGCGAGTTAGGACAGCTAGGGTTACACAGTGAGACCTGGTCTCCAAAAATAAATAAATAAATAAATAAATAAATAAATAAATAAGTGTGATATCTGTCTGTAGACAACTTTTGCACAGATTTTGTTAATTGGTGGTGCTCTTGCCCTTCAGTAGGCAAGAGATGTTGCCAGACTCTGGGGGAGAGGACTTCCTTTGTCTTTCTGTCCTGCCTCAGACCTTCTCCTTCTAAGGGAGCATGAAAGATAACTTACAGAAATGATTCTATCTCCAGACTGTCTGGAGGCTGAGAAGACTGGGGTGAGCAGAACTCCTCACTGTAACCTGCCCCCGAGTGTGCCCATTACATCAGCACCGTGTACCCCCCCATCGTGTAGCACCGTGTAGCCCATCGGAAGCTCAGGACTTAACTGCATGTAGTTTATTGGGGAATGCAAGTCCAGGCTGCACAGGAGAGCGTGTGTGCTGCTTTCTATGGCTGTAATGGAAAGACTGAGGCTGCTGGGGAGATGAGCACAGTCTGCTTCCTTTGGGTGGGCTTTCAGGGTGCTCTCTTCCTTCTCCCAAGGTTCAGATCGCGAACGTTCAACCAGCTGCAGAATTTTCCCCTGAACTGAGCCTAATTCTCAAAAAGGGCTCATCTCCGTGCTCCATGCCCTCCAACCTTGCCCCGTCACTCCAGACTACAGCTGCCAGGACCTGTGCCAGATGGGTGCCCACCCTCTGAGGTCTTATGCTCACCTGACTTTCAAAGTTTGGCCCAGGACCCGAGAGCTGACCCTGTGCTCTGAAGTCCCTCCCAAATGCACCAGGCTTTAGTCTTCCTAACAGCCACAGACGCTGCAGTAGGGCCTGACTCACCTTATAGGGCAGCCAAACCTGGACCAACAGAAGATCCCAGAAGTTCGAGGAGAATGGGCCATTTGTCTTTTATTCTTCCTGCAGTTTTATAGAATTTGCCCCATGCCTGGCACTGCTACAGGCTCTGCCTAGTTTGCTCAGTTAATCTTCACAATAGCCAAATGGTTGGTTGTATAGATGAGAAAAGCGGGGTATGCAGGGAGTTGAGAAACTCCCACCAAGGGCTCAGCTTTAGAGAGAGGACCTGAGCCAGTGGGATCAATTGATACCATCACCACTGCCCTCTGTCCCTTCCTCCCGCCCCGCCCTGCCATTCTCCCCCCACCTCCCTCTCTGTCGGTCTCTCTGTCTGTCTCTGTCTGTCTCTCTCTCTCTCTCTCTCTCTCTCTCTCTCTCTCTCTCTCTCTCTCGTGTGTGTGTGTGTGTGTGTGTGTGTGTGTGTGTGGTGCTGGGGGTCAGATCTGGGACTTCAGAAAAGCACTGAGTTATCAACCCCCAACAAATAAGGGAGTTGTGTTTATTTGAGACAGAGTCTCACGTAGCCCTGGCTGACCTTAAACTGGCTATAGCCAAGGATGACCTTGAACGTCTGATCCTCCTGACTCCATCTCTGAAGTGTTGGATTCTTGGCGTGTGCTACCGCACTCGGTTCATGTCATCCCGGGTTAAAACACAGGGTCTCGTGCACTCATAGAAACACCCTGCCATCTCAGTCACATTCTCAAACCCCACGTGTGGCCTATGGCTGTGGACAGCAGAAGCCAAGTCTGAAGGCTGGCTTCCTCCCTATATCCAAACACTGGATCTGGGCCACAACAGGGGCCTCGTCTCTAGAGCTCTGTCTTGCTTCCAGCTTGTTGTCTTGCTCCCCTTTCCCCTTACCTCTATGCCAGCTCTGTACAGAGCACAGTTCTGCCTACTGGAAACTCTTGGAATGAATGAACCCACTCTTTTATAGGCTTTCCATGACTCTAACTAAGTAGCAGAGGGTTGGAGAGATGGCTCAGCAGTTAAGAGAACTGGCTGCTCTTCCAGAGGACCCTGATTCAAGTCCCAGCACCCACATGGAAGCTCACAACTGTCTGTAGCTCCAGTTACAGGGGGTTGAACCCCCTTACACAGACATA